CCCCTTTCTGAATTTACAATCCCTGATTGGACCTGGCCTCGCCCCGACCACTGCACCCTCCAGTCAGCTAAATAAGAATCCCGGTATTCTTGTGTAGCATTCCCAAAGCTAGAACCAATTTCACAGCAAGCAAAACTGTGAACAGTTTCCCAGTTCAGAAAAGGCCATATAACTTGTAAGCTATGCTTTGCTTTATAAAATGTACGAGCTCAAAAGCAAGTACAAAGTCATGCTAGACAGGAACAGAAAATGTTTTAATTAATGCTACTACCTATAGATTATGACCAGCATGATGGCAGGTGTGGAAAAGCTTTTTATAAAAACCAAAATGTTTATTTATTTTATATCTTTAGTGCCACAAAATAATACAAACCAGAATGTGGTACTGTGGTTACACTCTGTGTAACTGCTAATCAAGTCCTATAGATTATAAAATAGAGCATTAGCTTTATAACCAGAAATTTTTGTAGAAAATTTTAACCCAAACCTAAATTATTATTCAAGGTCATAAACACAAGAAAATAAAATTCAAAGTTAATCTGAATTTGAGATATTTCACAAGCACATCCCAAACCGTTTTCCAGTCCTCCTCTATAAGAATTCTGCTCAAGTTAAATTGGCTGATTTCTATATTGCATGCATATACCTTCTTCTGAACATTTACCCTAGCCATTCCTTCTCCTCCAAAGTGCTGCTCCCTCTGATATGCCCTTCCCTCTTTTTCAATTGTAAATTCCTAGTCAATCTTGATTAAACTTCTCTGTATCCCTCATCTCTACATTTGTTCCCTTATGCACAGAGATTTCAAAAGTTATTTGCTGAGTCAAATAATCATTTCAATAATTTGGAGGCAGAAGAGGAGATGGTTAGTTATTCAAGTTCACAAATGATTTACCTATTCATAAAACAAGTGCTTTAGAATATCTACTATGTACAAGATATAATGCCAGGGGCAATGAAGAATACAAAGAAGGAACTGACCATAGATTTACTTTCATGGATCTTAAAATCTAGTCAGGAAAATAAGATCAATACCCAAGTAACCATAAGCAATACAAACTGGACAATTAGAAATACTCCACTATGGTTTATGCTAAAGAAGAGTAGGATTGCTTAACAATATGCAGGAGGAGTAGAGAACAACTCTTGGAGAAAGCAGCACTTGAGTTGAACAGGAAGAAGACATTATTTCCTTAATAAGCGTTAACAAAGGGAAAGAGTGGGCAGAATTCAGGAAGTTATTGGATGAAGAAAGGGAACAACGATGCTTTAGAGTTAAGTATATGAAGTAGAGAAAACGAAACAAATGTGAAAGTAATTTCTATTATGAATTAAAGAGATTAAACATGAGAAATTTGGAGGTCATTACACACTGATGTCATGATGTTAGGCAGTCTGTTAAGTAACCAAAAGATATGGAAAGATTTCACAGGATAACTGTGGTATGAGAAAAATCCTTTTTATTGTAAAAGTTTATTTTATTTTATTTTGAGTTGGAGTCTCACTCGGTCGCCCAGACTGGAGTGCAGTGGCCGCTCCCAGTCACCGCAGCCTTGCCTGCTGGGCTCCGGCGATCCTTCCGCCTCAGCCTTCCGAGTAGCCAGAATTATAGGCGTGCGCTACCACGCCCGGCTGATTTTTTGATTTATTGTAGAGATGAGGTCTCGCTGCCCAGGCGGATCTTGAACCCGCGGGCTCAGGCAATCCACTCACCTCAGTCTCCCAAAGGCGCAGGACTACAGGTTGAGCCACCGAGCCCGGCTCATAAAATTTTATAATGTCTTTTTTTTTTTTTTTGAATTGGAGTCTCACTCTGTCGCCCAGGATGGAGTGCAGTGGCACACTCATGATCACTCCAGCACTGACCTGCTGGGCTCAAGAGATCCTTCCACCTCAGTCTTCCAAGTATTTGGAACTACAGACATGTGCTGCCAGCCCAGCTAATTTTTTTTCATTTATTGTAGAGATGAGGTCTCACAAAGTTGCCCAGGCTGGTCTTGAACCCATGGGCTCAGGCAATCCTCTCACCTCATCCTCCCAAAGTTCTGGGATTACAGGCTTGAGCCATTACACCAGCCTATGCACAGTCATGAGAGGATGTGAGTAGTAAAGACACAAAATGTCTTAGGGTTAATGTGAAAGTAATTAGGCCTCCTGGACCCTCCTCAGGGGTCTCAATAATCCCCAGGAATGCCCAGGTCACATTTTGAGAGATGCTAATCTAGAATAATTGCTAAGAGATTTATTTATGAGCCAAGCTCATTTTTAAAATTTATTAGAGACAAGGTCTCGCCAAGCTGCCTAGGCTGGTCTCGAACTCATAGGCTTAGGCAATCCTCTCATCTCGGCCTCCCAGAGTTCTGGGATTACAGGCTTGAACCATTGTGCCAGCCTATGATGTCATTTTATAACCGAAGAGTATTCAACACAGTGAGGTCTACTTAATCAGAACTGTCATAAAGAGCTAAAATAACAGTGTTAAATACTCTTCAATGTGTTATGTGAACAAGGCATAAATTCCATTCAATCTTCTCCATGGACGTGATTGTATAATAAATGATCTTCATACAAAAATCTAACACGGCAAGATCCTAAAGAATTCTTCTGGAACATTCAAGAAAGATTGTTTTGAGTGAAATGCAGGGAGATTGTATTATGTTATAAAGTTATAAATTGGCAGTGGTGTGTGTTTGCGTACGTGTATGTAGTACACATGGTAACTCAACCAGAATTCATCAGATCATCATATTATCAACTTACTATAGACTGGAAAAGTCACTGGGATTAAAAAACAAACAAAAACTCCTTCAACAGAATTGTCTCACAACTGCAAGGAAATAAACATGCCATCTATTTCAGAAACCACTGACATTTCTTGGGGTAGGTTGGGGGTGGGGGGAATCTTTATCCTTTAAAGTTTAGCCTGCTTAGAAATATACACACAGCTTGATTTAGCTCCAGTACCACGTTCCTGGGCTCACAAAACTGGGCCATCTTTTTTTTACTCTTGAAAATAAAAGCAGGAGGGTTTATTTGAAAAGGGTCTCTCTGTTGTGGAGAGACTCCTGCTGCCATTGGGAAACTAAGTGAGAAAATACCAATTAAACAAGAAACCACGAGTTAATACCAAAGAAACATCCAATAAAAATAAATGCCTGGTTTTAAGATAATTTGACATTTTTAGAAGCCTTGAGGTGGTAACAGAAGTGAAGGTATACAGAATTGCCTTATTTTACCTAGGGATTCATTTTTGTGAGTCAAATCTCAGTTGAGTCACACTGGGCATCCCAACTTCTTGCCATTAATACTGTCCCTGGTACATGGCAATATCCTTCAAAATAGACTTATCAAGAGTACTAGCCTGAGCCCACGGGTTCGAGACTCACCTGGGCAGGTGAGACCTCATCTCTACAATAAATCAAAAAATTAGCCGGGCGTGATAGCATGCACCTGTAGTTCCAGCTACTTGGAAGGCTGAGGTGGAAGGATCGCTGGAGCCCAGCAGGTAGAGGCTACAGTGGCCGGGAGCGGCCACTGCACTCCAGTCTGGGCGACAGTGAGACTCCAACTCAAAAAAAAAAAAAGAGTACTAAGAGAATGAAAATTCTTTTTGAAGGTTCTAAAATAATTATAGGTACAAATATAGTGGTTTGTCAACAAAAGGTAAGGCTTACTATAAGATTAGTACATACAAATCCTGAGCAAAGACAGCATCCATGGGGTAGTACTAATAAAGGAGGTGGGAAGAGAGTAGATTACAAAGACATTTCTACAAATTCCAAAAAGATTTCCCTTTCCTCATGCTGGGGGCCTCAGCACAGGCTGTCACGCCCTAGGTGATCTTCAAACCCTGTCTAGGAGTTTTCTGTAAGGCAACTGCAGCATAAATTCATACATGAGACCACCCTCACATGTACCAATTTTGTTTGGTATTGCATCTCAGTAATATTAAGGAGGCAAGCAATTATTTGTTGTATCTGTTGTTTTCTCCTGGGGAGGAAGAACTGGTTTTCTATTTCAACTGACAAATAATGCTAGAAGATACTGGAAGAATTTGCTTGTTTTCTAAAAAGTTTAAATTTTAACTTTTCTTTTCTTCTTTTTTAGAGTTGGAGTCTCACTCCGATGCCCAGGCTGGAGTGTGGTGGCATGCTCACAGTCACCACAGACTCGACCTGTTGGGCTCAGGTGTCCTTCTACTTCAATCTTCCAAATAGCTGAAGTACAGGCATGCACCATCACACTCAGCTAATTTTTTTGATTTACTGTAGAGACAAGGTCTTGCTACGCTGCCCAGGCTGGTCTTGAACCCATGGGCTCAGGCAATCCTCTCCCCTCAGCCTCCCAAAGTGCTAGGATTACAGGCGTGAGTCACCGCACCCAGCACATTTAAATTTTTTAACCCTCATCCTTTCTTGGATAATTTTTAAAGTTTCCATTACTTTAACACAATTGCAGGGAGACATGTTGGAAAGGTTATTGAAAGTGACAGATGGGACCATTTTGAAATAACATGAAACCTGTGGTACTACTGAAAGAAAGTCACGAAATTCAAAATTAAACTAGACAGAATGGTCTGAAGTTGTTTTTGTTCTTTTTCAATGAAGCACAAAAAGTGGGAGGTTAAAGCAAGGCTACTGCCTCTTTGAATTCCCCCACTTTGAGCAATTTATATGGTACTTATGAACTGTCTCCTTCACAATATAATGTGCTCCCTACCTCAAGTTTTAAACTTCCACATATTTACTGTTGAACATCCAAATATGCCTTTCTTTGACATCACTAAGAATGCAACTTTACTTTTTATAGGTGTAACTAAAGACTTGAGAAAAAGACATTTATAAACAACTTTCTGTCCATTAAAAGTCCCATTTAGAATGAGATGAAAAATGTGTATCTCAAAAACCCACTACACATTCCAGGTATGCTAAAAGAGCATTTGTATTGCCATATTATTGCGAATCGTGCAGACAAGTGTTCCAGTGAAGAGTCACACCTACCTTATTGTGCTCATACTTGTATGGGATCTTGAGTGTATCCATGGCTCTGATCATGGCCTGCATGGCCGTGAAGATGTTCTGATACACCAGCTTGGTAAAGCCCCTTTTGTCTTCATCAGAGTATCCCGACCCGTGGATGATTCTCATCTGCTTGATAAACGTACTCTTGCCACTCTCTCCCGTCCCTGGAAGATGGACAAAAGCAGCTCATCAGACCACAATGCCTTCTCAATCTCCCAGATAAATCAACTAGATACAGTGCCTCGGATCTGACATCCCCAAATGGCCTGGCAAGAGGAGCATGACCCAAAGAAAAAAACGCCATCTATGGCGAACACTTAGCAGAACTGAAGGAGAGCTCATTCAAGAAAACAAAAACCTCTTTGGAAGCCACTCAGCATAGAATTTTGATAGTGATTTGTAACCATGCATCTTGTAAGAAACAATGGCAACAACAGCATCTCTTGAACACAATAAAAACTTGACAAAGCTCTCTTCCCTGGAGAATATTTGAAAGGCTTCCAGGACACTGGGTTGATTAGCCAGGATTTGGATCTGGAAATGACAGTGCACTTACACAAATGCAAATGTTATCTGGAGAGAGATAAGAAATAAAGGCCTAAAATTTTCTAGCCAACTTTTCTAATTTTAAAATGGTGTATGTAAAGAGCACAGCATTCAAATAAGATAAGAATCATCTTTTCTAGACAGCAAATATTCACTGTATTTATTTCTAGAGAGTTTGACTGCCTAAACTATTTCAAAAAAGCATCTAATTAGGAAAGTCACAATGGCTCTTCTTCCTTCTGCCCATTCTAAACCAATAACATGATACAGAAATTTATTGTTATTGAATTTTTCTTCTATGCTGTCCCCTTTTCCATATCTTTAATATTTCTTTTATGTTACCATAAGTCTTAAGGTAATCGCCTAACAGTTATAAATGTCCATGGGAAGAAGGAAAGACAGAAGGATGAGATCATTCACTGAATGGCAACATCTTTCTTCTACAAGGAATCTAAATCTATGAATCTAAAAAGTTCATTTTTCTAAATGCAAGTACCTATTTTCATATGTCCCTTCTCATTCCCTATTTCTCATTCCTTTTCAAATTTCCTTGAGATTTCCAAAATTATAAAGGGTTTTGCCTTCCCCCAAAATTGTGAAAAAATAAAAGTACCTATTTGGCTTTTTCTCAAGGTTGAGAAAAAGGAAGGAGGGACAGTGGGAGGGAGAGACAGAAGGAGGGGAAGAAAAGGGAAGGAAAAAAGAAAAGAGAAAAAACTAAAAGTTAGGAATACAACATCTGTCTTAATTTCATTTTGCTTTTCTGATGGTTGGATTTCATTACTATCTTTATAAACAATCGCAAAATTTCAATTAAGTACTACAATTTCCATAGAAGCACTATTAAATGACTACAGATGTCTTGATAAATACAGAACCACCACACAGTTACAATGAAAGATGATTTCTAGCCTGGGTATTACATCAGCTGATTCCTTTATAATTTTCCTATTACTTTAAATAAACTTATCTGGAATTCCTTGAAATATAGATTAACAACTACAATGTAAATGCTATCAGACCAGTTTAATAGAATTATTCCACAGTTTAAAATGAGTATTTTATAATTCCAACCATGAATGCTGGAGGAACACTTAAAATATATAAATCTACCATCTCTAGTAGAAATAAAGCTAGAAAATAGTTTCTCATTATCAAGAAACAATTTATAAAAAGAAACTAGTATCTTTTACTAGTGTCAACTGCTCTCCCAAGCAATTAAAAGTATATAAAAAAACCAATCCAGGTTGCTTCTTTATAATCACTATTCCAGAGCCAAAGGTTTGCTCTAAGGATCCAAGTGTAGACATAATCAACAAATCAGAATCTCTGCAAGTTTTTCTACAACAAAAACAGAAGAGCTCTTAATTTGTGAGGTTAATGGTATAAGAAGAATAGGAAAGGGAATCAGGTAAATGGGTTCTCTTTCTCCTGATCCCCTGAGAAATTATTATACATTTATGACACCCCCTCCCAAACCCCCCAAAAAGAGAAAACAAAAAACAAGAAAGTACCAGACAGAGCATAAATTATGTTGGCTTGTGTTTCATTGAAATCATTTTAAGCAAGAGCAGTCAACACCTAGCACCTCTTTGGATCTGAGCCTGTGGGTACCATCCACATGCTAGACATCACACTAATGTAGACTCCAACTAAGAGCAGAATGTGAGTGAATGGGAAGGTATCAAGAGGAAAGAAAAAATAAATTTAAAAAGTAACTCTAAAGTAAGATATTTTCCTGTTGCCAGAAACACATGCAGGGACCCCTTCTCCACCTTCTTGTCTTGCTGAGTACCCCCAGGAGGCTGACTGGTAGAGATTTCATCAACAGCTCTAGTATCGTCTGTCTTCTGCTAAGAAGAAGCCAGAGAGCAAGACAAAAGGGGGCATTTATTCTCCCAGGTCCCTCCCGGGTAGGGGGGGAGCATAGGTGAATAATGTCCCCTTTAAAAGGGACCAGCTCTCGCTGCTTGACTTTCTCTCTACAGTTGCCCTCTCTGGGTTCCAATAACTGCTCTCTCTCTTTACCCAGCTATTGTTTGGCCCCAGGTTACTGCACCAGCCTTTACAGGCTACTTATGCCTGGTCCATAACTTTGTAAACAGTTCCTTTATAACCCTCTCCTCAATCACCCCTTTGGAGCATGCCATATGTTTCTTGTTGGAACTCTGAACCAGTACAAATACCAAGAAGAAAGCAGGGAACAATTAACAGGACAAAGGTCACAGAAGGCAAGGGAATGGAGTGTATACTCTCTTCCTCCTCCGTTCTGTTCTCTATAAATCTTATTTATCAAAGATATTCAAGTTTATAAAGTACTTTCTATTATATAACTTACACTCATGGCTCTCTTGTAGGCCAGTCATGATTGAGAAACAGTTGTCACCAAGCTAAAGGAAAAAACGGTAAGAGCCCAAACCAAATCCAGTACTGCTAACTCTCCCCAAAGTACTAATAAATATGGTACATATCTCTCTATCTCTCTCCCCCTCCCTCTCTCTCTCTCTCTCTCTCTAATCTCCAATACAGAGACATGGAACAAAATGGTTTCTACCTCCTGAGTACCCCCTTACTCATGAAGTTAACAGAAACAGACTAGGGTGCCACCCTGTGCAAGCACTTTGAAATACATTGTCATTTTATCCTCTCAAAAATCAGATAGGTATCTTTATCTTCATTCTTGGAGAGGTGAGGCAATATGGCTAAAATGATATGGCTAGGAATAGGCAGAGCCAGGGCTCAGACCTGGCATGATTTTCAGTTTCACAACCACCCTAAATCAGGACAGTTCACTTCTATTGCCCACACTTTAAAAAGTCTGTCTGGCTTTGACTACACACAACCTGCCTCCATTTAACCTAAATTTCTGAATACAACTTCAATTAATGGGGGCCTATTTTGAATCTTGGATCTATCTTCCACTTGACCAGTTGTCCGCCTTCCAGGTAAATTTCACTCATAAACTTAATGCTCAAATTTTGATTTTATTATACACACGCTATAAATTCACAGTGAAGGTAAAGCTTCATGTAAGAGAAAAATCTCTTTAATGTAAATTCTGTAGGTAAAATGATAAAAGTACAAAATTAAAGTAGTCTTGTACTAAAATTGAATTTAGTCAAAAACAAAGTATAATATATCTCAATATCCATGAGAGACTGGTCCCAGGACACCTCTACTTGGATACCAGAATACAAGAATGCTCACGTCTCTAATACAAAATGGCATAATATTTGCATATAACCTATGCACAACCTTCTGTACACTGTAATTCATCTCTAGATTACTTATAATACCTAATACAATGTAAATACTATGCAAATATTGTTACATTGTATTGTTACTGCTATTTTTGAAAGTATTTTCAATTAAAGGCAGGGTGGGGTGCCTCATGCCTGTAATCTCAGCACTTTGGGAGGTGGAGGCTAGAGGATTGCCTCAACCCAGGGATTTGAGGCCAGACTGGGCAACTTGGCAAGATCTCATCTCTACAATAAGTCAAAAAATTAGCCAGGCGTAGTGGCACACGTCTCTAGTTCCAGCTGCTTGGAAGGCTAAGGCAGAAGGATCACCTGAGCCCAGCAGGTCAGGGCTGTGGTAGCCGTGAAAATGCCACTGCACTCCATCCTGAGCGACAGAGTGAGACTCCAACTCAAATATACGAATGAATGAAAGGATGAATGAACGAATATTTTCAATCCAAGTTTAGTTGAATCTACAGGTCCAGAACCTATGAATAAGGAGGGCTGACTTACATGTAGACTAAAATATGAACAAAGTAAAAAGCTCAGCTTCTTAGTTCCAGAGTTCTATCATGAAGACACATAAATTAACCTTAACAAATGTGTACGCCAAATTTCATGTGTCCTTCTCCTATTTTTACAGAATTATACAATACTCTCAGAATTTAAATGGACATTTTAACAATCTAGCCATGATTAGTATGAAAAAAAATTGGGGTACAATAAAAAACAGCTGTTCACAAATTATATTAAACGATATTGTTTCCTAAGGCTACATGAAAAGTATACAAGATTTCCCAATTCTCTATCTCTGCTTGAAAGAAAGCAGACTTTTCTACTACTAGTAAATTGTTTCATGAATTCAGTGATGACTAATATCTTTTTCACAGCACAGGGCAATGAAAAGCACAAATGACTGACCAATCTAAAGAAATATGACTTTATTTCCAAGACCACTGGTACAATAAAATCTAGAAAGGAGTCCTTACGTGAAATGTCTGGAACAGGGTGAAAGCTCTCACTTTTGCTAACTTAAATATATCTCCAATCAAGTCGCTTAATAACTTTACTAAGCAAATCAACTTACACAAGGGTATAAGTCTCTCTCCTTCAATGGTCTCTATAAATATGACTTTAAAATGTCCCTGGAAAAGTTATTTGTACCTTCAGGCAAGTATTCTGCCTTTTCTTATCCCAGTTCATCAAAATATCCAGAAATAAGACTATTTTTTTAAAAATTGTTTTTAAAGACTGTTTAAGAATCATGCTATTTAAAAAGACCTCTTCACCCAGCATGCATAACTTGTTGTGAGGACTACTAATTTGTTTTTCTTCCTTACTCACTGGATCTGGATAAAGCACAGAGAGCTATCTCC